GTTTTTGGAAAAAACTAAAGCACTTGAACCAACATGTGTTAAAATACTGTCACCTGTGTAAACACTTTTTTCCTTATATTTTTTCAGATATTTTTGCATTAGTTAGATATAACAGCCAGAATGATAGTTACAGGTGAGATTTGATTAAACTTTTTGGAAAAGTTTCTTTAATGCTCCCTGATTTTAATATAAAGTTGATTTGCTGGGCCCTGTTTAATATCTCTGTCTCATATCTCTTCCACAGGTTGAAGATATTTTCAGAGGAAAGCGTCCCACTATTTGGACCTCCTCTCCCTACTCCGTCTGTATTTACTGATCACCAAGAATTCAGGGACTTTTTATTAGTCAAATGTGAGTAAACTACAGTGGCCCTGAGGTGTAAATGAACATCATTTGAAAAACCTGAATTACATTTGAACAAAGCAGAATTACATTTGAAAATACGGAATTACATTAAGCCAAAGCGGAAGTGGTCAAAGCAGAAATGGCCAAAGCGGAAATGGCTGGGATCACATTTGAACAAACAGAATTACATTTGAAAAAAAGGAATTACATTTGAAATAAAGGAATTGCATTAAGCCAAAGCAGAAGTGGCCAAAGCGGAAGTGGCCGGAATCACATTTGAAAAAACAGAATTACATTAAGCCAAAGCAGAAGTAGCCAAAGCAGAAGTGGCCAAAGCAGAAGTGGCCAAAGCAGAAGTGGCTGGAATTACATTTGAAAAAAACAGAATGAAACTAACTGTTTTTTTTTTTTTAAATGCAATTCTGTTTTTTCAAATATGATTACGGCCACTTCCACTTTGGCCACTTCCGCTTTGGCTTACTGTAATTCCGTTTTTAAAAATACAGTTCTGTTTTTTCAAATGTTTTTGTTGTGTTTTTTCAAGGTTTTTTTTGTTTTTTGAAATGTATTTTCATTTTTTCTAATGTTCATTTACACCCCAGGGCCACGGTAGTAAACCTTAAAGAAAATACCAATCGTATATGATCTGGATCTTT